AATTTATCTCTTAGAATTCTAGGAGCTGTGTTGATGGAGATAAACCCAAACAGCCAAATATCCCATGTTTTCACTCATAAAACAATGATGATGATGATAATGGTAAGACTTGAGGCAAAAGTAAAATAAAATGATGATGCTGATAATGATAAGACCTGAGGCAAAAGTAAGACTATCTCAGGAGAAGGGTAGTGTCAACAAGAGAGTAAGGGGGAGCAGGGGAAGGATACTGGGAAAGGGGGACATAACAAGGATCTAAGTACATTACATACGTATCTACATATGCACTGCATAATGAAACTCACTAAACAATTTGAAAATGGAAGACAGAATGTAGGGAGTTACTGGCATTTAAAAGGTGTGGGAAGAATGTCAAGGGGAGGGTGATAGATGAACGAAGAGAAGGGGAGGAGAATGCAGTCATAATGGAAAATGTATATCTTATGAAACTAGGAAAATTGAGGTCAGGGGCTGAGTTGGGAGAGACGAGGAAGAATAATGAAAGGGATGACATATCTCAAGATGCATTGTAATTATAAACTAATTTTGTTGAAAACCTTTTGTACCACTACTTAGAGATAATAAAAAATTGTTTTTTTAAAAAGAAGCATTTGCTTGAAAAGCAGTCATAAAGAAAAAGGAAAAAAAACCTAAATCCAAATAATCTCTCTCTTGTGAATATCTAAACTTTTAACCTCTTACCTTGACTAGAGTTTCCATATTTGCTCTATTTAATCAGCAATAAAAGTCATATATGTCATTCCTTGTATTTTATCTATCAGCATCATACTATAAATTCTAAGTAGAAAGAGTTTCATTTGGCCTTTCCACATTCTGCTGTAAGAAAGAAGTTAGAACTAGTTTATCAAAATAATTTATGTTTTAAAATTCCTGAAGAAGCAAAGAAAAAAATAATCAAGTCCATTTTTAGGCTTTGGTCTCAGGAGGTCCATTGGTATCATATATATGACACACTCCAAGAATAAAACTATAAATCTATCTTATTAATGCTATTACACACTTCAAAATGATAGATGTTAGTATACACAAAGTCTTTATGACTTTATTTGAACCACAGATTTCTAAAATTCGTTTAGAATTTTTCAAAGACTTCAAAATCTCATTTAGTTACCTACATATAAGACTAAATATTCACTAGGAGAACATATGCGAAGCATCTCTGCTGTAATAAGAATCCACAAAGTGAAGGTAAAAAAAAATAATGCAAATAGGTAAAATAAAGTCATAAAGCAAAACAATGAGAATTCAACAAAATATTATGGAAAGGTTCCAAACTGGCAAAAGTAGAAGAGTGATGGTCCAGTTCTTTAAATTGCATATTGCAATAAAAGAACTGATTTTCAGAGGGTTTTATTTCTAATTTAATGCTGTATAATACAATCAGCATAAAACCCCACCAAACTTGATGAGCCAAATGAAGATTCTGAAAAAGCTGTGCTTGCAAGGAGGGAGGGAAGGAGGAACTTCCCATCTGTGTCAGCATCTGAGGTTGCGCTCTCATCTCTGATAACTTGTTAGAAAGCAATCTTCTTTGCAAGGCAGTGGATTTACATCATACATTTTTATCTCTCCAAGGAAATTCTAATTACTGGTTCCAATCATTTCTGATTGATTTGACTTTTATTCATCCAAGGTAGTCTTTGCTCTATGATGAAATCAAGCGTCTAATAAAATTCCAACTATTTCAGAACAATTTACAAGCTCCAGATGACTGAAAGTTTTCTCATGTCCACTTGGCATCCAGGAAGAGAGATTTGCTGAATACATTCTGAAGAATAATACATCTGGCAGTCACTAAAACAAAGAACTCACCAATGACACACTTGAAGCCAATTAATATTGCATAAATACAAATTTGTCAATTTTCTTTGAGGCTCAAGCTTCAATACAACTACCACACATTACAGTAAATCTTTTAACACATGAGCCACTAGTCACATGGGTCCATGACTGGAGGACATTTTAGCAATCAACTTAATACATATACTTTTTTTTTTTTTTTGTCGGTTATAGGGCTTGAACTCTAGGCTTGGGTGCTATCCCTCAGCTCTTCAGCTCAAGGCAAGCGCTCTACCACTTGAGCCACAGGGCCACTTCCAGTTTTCTAGTGGTTTGTTGGAGATAAGAGTCTCACGGACTTTCCTGCCTGGGCTGGCTTTGAACTGTGATACTCAGATCTCGGCCTCCTGAGTAGCTAGGATTACAGGCGTAAGCCACTAGCACCCAGCATATACATTATTTTCTATGCAAAAGTTTATAATATATACTATAAACTTTAAAAGAGATTTCAAAAATTCATTTACTTACCTGTAGTCAATGTCAATATATATTTGTTCTGTTTTTGACACAAGATCTAATTATGTTGCCCACACTGGTCTGAAATTTATGTTCTCCTGCCTCAGACTTCCATGCTGGGAATACAGGCATGTGTCACCATACCCTGCTACATTAATGTTTTGTGTTTTTGTCTTAAAGAAAAGACTTAAAATCTGTTAAAAAGCTCATTTAAATTTGTCCTTTCTCTTCACTTTAGATAGATTCCGTTTCCATGACAAAAGACAACACAGAATCAAATCTTAACACTAAAATGATTAATCCTAAGAATCATTTCCCAGAACTTGTTTCAATTATGGCAGAAATATACCAGAAGCCCATATGTGTGTTTATCATGAGAATATTTTTATGGATAATAATAGTCAATTTAGCTATTCAAAAATGCTGCAGCAGCAAGGTGCCAATGTCTCACACCTGCAATCCTAGTTACTCAGGAGGCTGAGATCTGAGGATCTCGTTCAAAGCCAGCCCAAGCAGTCCCTATACAACTCTGATCTCCAATTAACCACTCAAAAACCTGACATGAACCTGCAGCTGAAAGTGGTAGAGCACTAGCCTTGAGCAAAAGGGCTCAGAGACAGTGCCCAGGTCCTGAGTTCAAGCCCCAGGAAGTGAGTACTGAATTTTTAAAGCATCAATATGAAAGCAGGCCAAGAAAATAAGTAATTTAAATGGCATTATTCTTACAAAGGTACATAACAAGGCTATTGGTTGTCAGTAATCACTTTTTTTTTATCAATTTACTAATATAAGTATTTAACAATGAACTATTTCTATAAAATAAAGAGACTGATTCAACCATATCTGGCACTAGCTATGGCTTCTCCTTCAGCACCTTTATAAAAGAATTAACTTTTACAAACTCAGTAGACCCAGACATTATTTGTGTTAGCTACATGTCCAGAAATTACAGGCTAATTCAGTGATTTATGTCTCTAGTACTCCAGGGATTAAAACTATGGGTCCTTTTGGAAATATTTAGTATATCCCTCTATGAGAAATGCACCACATTTATAGGATACACTGATTCTGGTACATCCTTAAAGGACACAGAGGCTTCAAGCACACTGAAAAGTGCATGGTCAACAGCATCTATGAATCTCTTATGGAATAATTGTGAAAATCTGAGCTTCCTCTAAAAGAGCAATTTATCAAAGTGAAGTTACTTTAATCTCCAACTACATCCTGTTCAGTCTTGTGCATCTAGATTTCATCTGTGTACTTACATTACATTGAAGAAATTACCTATGCCTCTTTACATCCCTATAATACTAAATTGAATTTGGTAGCTGGAAAAGAGTAATGCAAAGAGCCATTCAGAGTAGGGGCATTGGCACCAGATAACATGAGATTGTACATCTGCTATGCAGTTAGTAAAACTCTGTGTACTCAAATAAGATTCCAGAATGATTTTGGAACTCCACTGATCTTGATCAGTACCCTGTGGCCTATTAACACCCTTTGGCAAAACCTAAGTAACCCAAGGGGGAATAAACCAATGATAAGGAGGGTGGCTTACACTGTTAACCTCTGTAGCAGTCTTTCTCACCTTTGTTCACAGCTCTCCCTCCTGATCCTGGACAGCCATCCTCATTAAGCTCTTTAGTTTGCAGCATGTCTCACTAGTGAAATTGCATGTAGCAGGTTGGCTCTCAAAAGGCAAATTATTTATCTGGCTTTAGAGATGGAGCTTTCAGAGACAATTACAGTCTGGGGAGTATATGATTTGACAGAAAGGGGAAAAGTTCTGTTGATTCCCCCCCCCCCCCCAATTCTTGAAATTCCTGAAAGGTAGACGTGAAATGCCCAATTTTGAATAACTCTCCAGAAGGTTGAGCCCACAGAAAAAAGAGAAATTGTAGGTGAGAAAAAAAAAGTCCGTGAAAAGGAAAGGATGGTTGAAGACTAAAAACAACTCCATGAAATGGTAACCCCCTCTGTATATCACCTTTATAATAACAAAGTATTCAATTAAAAAAAGCAATTCTGTTAGTGTGTGGCCCATTTCCAACACCTAGCACATAGCCACAAATATTTATTGAAATCTCCTTTTTTCCATGCCAAGGAAGCATAACTCTGCCTCAAATAATAATAATAAAATAATAACAATAATAATAATAATAATGCTCTGAAAGCAAAAGCAAAAAGACTAGCTCTATGAGCTAAGTCAATTTACTCTCTTAGGATTTAGTCACTGGGGAAATTTTGCTAAAGCAATTTCTGAGAGTCTCAGAAGCTCCTTCGGAGAGATGTCTGCCTCTCCTGGGACAGGAAAGTAGCCTAAAGAACACTAAGGCTGATTCAAACCCAGGGCCTAACATCCCAAGCCGCCTGGGGTCTCTGTGAGCCTTGGAGCCCAGGGGCTGGCCACAGGAGGGCGGGCCCAGGGCAATGTGGATGGCCCCTAGCTCAGGGGGTGCGGACCCAGCAGTTCTCAGGCAATCTGGCTTGTAGTCAGGGTTTAGAGCTCGCACTTCCTTCAGATCTCTCCTCCGCCCCCTCCCCCCTTCCCCCTCTCCCCTCCCCCTTTCACTCCCTTTCTCCTCCTCCTCCTCCTTCCTCCTCCTCCTCCTCCTCCTCCTCCACCACCACCACCACCACCTACTCCTCCTCCTCTTCCTCCTCCTCCTCCTCCACCACTACCACCACCACCACCACCTCCTGCTTCTTCTGCAGCTGCCCAACCTCGCCAGTTCCGACCCACCAGCTCTGCCCTCTCCTGCGCAATCCTCTTGCTGCCCGGGGCCAGAGCGCGCAGCGCGGCCGCACAGGTAGGAGCCCCAGACCCCAGGTGGCACAGAGCATGCCCAGCGCCCGTGGGAGCCCCGTGAGCCCAGGAGCAAGGTGGGGTGACCTGAAGAGTGCAGAGCGCGGGAGAGCTGCTCGCGACCGCGCAGGGCTCTCGGAGGGAGAGGGCGGTGGAGGTGTGCGGTCTGCGAATGCGAGCTGTCAGCTTGTGAGTATTTGGGTGACATGCGTTATGTGCGCGCCGCGCAGACAAGCAACTGGCAAGGTTTTGCGCGTAAACGTGGGTTTGAAGGTTTCCAGCGAAAGAAGTGCGAATTTAAGCTGCACCTGGATTCTGGTTAGAAACCAAAGCGCCGGGCAGTTCTGGAGGACTGACTGTCTGTTTAGTTTACAGTTAGGAAAGGGTCCTCCCTGCTGGCACCAGGCCGACCTCAAACTGGTACCACCTGGTACAGCCCGGTCTGCTCTTCTGGCACTAGGCAGCCTCGATCTTGAAGGTAACCTGTTAGGCACCCAAGCATGAATAAGACACAAGGGAATCAGACGTGGGTGGGGGGGGTGCTCCTTGTGCACAGAGAACAGGGTAGAAATGGAACTATAAGAGGATTTTAACAAATATTTATTGTTATTGTTAAGGTGATGTACAAATCAGGTAAAGAGTGCATCTCTTTTTGAACAGTAACCCCTTCCCTTGCTCTCTCCCAGTTTTTCCCTCAAATCCCCACCCACAAATTTTATAGTCCATTTTCAAGATAGGATTTAGTGAATATCACTGCTGCATTTGTTCACCCTTTGTCCATCCATTTCTGCGCCTCTCTCCTTTTTTCCAAAATAGTTTGAGGCTATATATTCATATTGGCTCGCAGGTATTTTTGCTGAACTGTACAAGGAATTTCACCAGCTGGAAGTGAGCACACAGAAATCCTTCATGTTCAAGAGAATGGAGATTTGCACAGTCCTTACACTGCAGGGGGTGAGGTGGGGGGATATTTGAAATTAATTATGTTATTTTTCCCCTTAAACAATTTTTTTAACCTTTGTGTCTATGCAGTATATATAATGCACTTCAAGCGTCCTTTGTATATGTCTCCATAGTATAAAGTGAAATGTCATTGTGCATAGGGTTTTTGGTCTTCTGTGCATGGTTTGTTGGACCAGGAAAGTTGAAGAGGGATTAAAAATTGGGTATCTTGGAGTCCAAAGCTTCCCCACCCTCCCTCCCTTTCTTGCTTATCATTGAAAAATTTGTGATTTGCCTGCAGCAGATGCTAAAGATCCATTCATCCTATTTTCTTTTGAGATTCACCATGTTGAAAGTCCTTTTCCTAACTATGCTGACTGTGGCACTGGTCAAGTCACAGGACACTGAAGAAACCATCACGTACACGGTAAGGGGTGATGGAATTTGGGATAAGTACATTCAGCGGGATTGTAGGACACAGAATGACTTTATCCACCCCTGCCAATGTATATGTGAAGGGTCATAAATTCAACAACACTTCAGTATAGTTGACATTTAAGCCTTTGATCCTTTGAAAAGTTCATTGTAGATCATCAATTGAGATGAGGATTTTAAAACTGAAATCAAAGTAACATACATGTTTTCAACAAATTAATAAATTAAATGGGAGTAAGGAATGGGAAGCCTGGATTCATACATGTTCAGGATTATATATTCAAACCAAATGAAATGTTAAACATCATATAAGCACAATCCTCCATTTGTGCATGTGATGTATTCTTCTTGAAGTGACCTTTCATAAAGGCTACTGCTCATTTATAGTATAACTCGAAGGATCATTCAGATATAGCTTGTGTATTACCATTCAGATATAGCTTGTGTATTACCAGGTGCAATATTTGCTAAAATGGATTTAGAATGCAATGCATACAACTCAATCTAGAATTTCCTGTTAGCCTTGCTAATATTTCCAAGTAGTATATGATGAATTAACAATTGCTTGAGCATAACCAGTATTTAATAATATTTACAATATTTTCTGACTCCCACCTACTGCCAAGAATAGTTGTGTCAAGAACAGGGCAAAGCTTATTCCAATAGGGGGTGTGTTTATTTGCACCTCTATTTTGTGTTTTCTGATTCTCATTCAGAGTTATGAAATGAATGACATTTGTCCTGGATTAGACTATGAAAAACACATTTTTCTTCTTGCTTTCAATGTTAAAAATTAATCTTACTCCAAAGAATGTGAAAAATTTTTGAAAGAAAAACTCTTAAAAGTGAGCTAATGTCAACTACTGATAATAAACATTATCTCACTTTTTGGTACTATGTTATCTCTAGAACATTAGTATTCGTCTGGCAAGTATTCTTTCCTGTTGTTCTGTCCAACTATAAATAAAATAGTATAATATAATTATTTTCTTAATGTTGAATGCAATAATTTCTGCTGATGAAGATAAATAAAGCAAGAGAAATGGATACATGTGTCATTTACCTTAAATGAAAATGTTATGTTCTTTAGGCCACACTACCTTTTCAGGGAGCTAAAGTTAGATTGCTATCTGCTCTTATAAACATTTAATAAAAGGTTTTATTGTCTTTACAATTGCTCATCCTATACTCTGGTTTTTTTCTAATTACTTAAGTTTTAATTCATTTTTAGCAGAAAAGTTCCCTGTACATTTGTCACTATAGCTTTAAAAACTAGGGTTTTCCTAGCTATGATGCTCTTTTTTGTACTAAGATTAAGTCTTTTCTCTCTTGAATTGTGTATACCTTATAATTCATAGTTAGTAGACTTGGTGTATTATTCTTTTTTTTTTTTTTTTGTCAATAGTGGGGCCTGAACTCTGGGCCTGGGCACTGTCCCTCAGCTCTTCAGCTCAAGGCTAGCACTCTACCACTTGAGTCACAGCACCACTTCTGGCTTTTTCTGCTTATGTGGTGCTGAGGAATCGAACCCAGGGCCTCATACATACAAGGCAAGCACTCTACCACTGAGCCCTCCTGAGCCCTTGATTACCCCATAGTGGCAACATTCTTTTCATCCCTACAGGAAAGGATGAGGTTAAGTGGCCTCAACCTCCTGCTAATGATATAACTAAACAAAAAGGGGGAAGGAGGTGGACCTTGCCAACAGCTAAGTTCAGTCTAGGCTAATTTAATAGTCAACCAACATTTGTATATGCTAACGTAACGAATGAAACACTTAGACAAACACTAAGTCTTCTCAATTTATCATAAAATTGTTCAAATGAACTGCCATTTTTGCATGGTTTAAAAGACCCTGTTTGGAAGGATGGATTTGTGTTTATTAAAAAAACAAAAACAAAAGTAAAAAATGTCAGATTCCCTTTCCATGTTAAAACTAGGGTTCATTTAACTACTTACTAGACAGGTATCTGAATAAGCAACTCCCCACTGTTATCAAAAGAATTTAAATTGTTTCCTGAGAAAACTCAGTCTTCTACTTTAGGCTATTCACTCTGGAAAGACATTGCTGAACATTGAAAGTTCATAAACAAGCACAATAATATTATTGCATACATTGTACAAATTGCTAAAGAATAGAAAAGCAAAGAGGTGATTATTTTTGGTGCTAACCTGTTAGAGAAAATAGAACCCCGTGCTGGTTCTTGAAGGAGGTTATGACCTCAGATTGATCTCGAAAGTCCAAAGAGACATCTGAGTCAAAAAGAGGCATACAGTATAAAAAAAAAAAAAAAAAGAGAGAGGCATAATAAAATGCTAGGAGTGAAAATAATCAAGAAAAGTCCAACAGGTGATCAGATCATATCAGAGATGGAATTGGATGGTGGAAAGAACCTAGAAATGATGATAATACCAGATAAGAAGCTTGTGGCCACATGAATTTTAGATGGAGGAACAACTTAACCAAAAGCAAAAATGCCTGTCATGGGTGCTGTGCACAGAAGATAAAGAACCTTGCCTCTTCTCAGGTCAAAAAGGTTCATACCAATATGATAGAGAAAAACAATCACAAGTAGGTAGAGCTTGAAGGAAAATGACTGGAGACATCAGAGGTTATGTTCCAGGATCATGAGAGAGGTGGTAGTACCTTGGACAGTGTTGGAGACTCTAAAAGACAATTAGTCTGGGAGATAACATGAGTTTAGTTACCCTGCTAAATTTTAGCCATCAGCAAAATAGTGTTCTCTCTGCCTCCATTCAGCTAGTTGCTTGCTAAGCACCAGTTGTGTTGCACAATTTTCAGCTCTAGTTAGATTATTTTTACTCTACTTAGGTATAGTCCTTCCTGAAGCAACTTTCTCCCAGTCTTTTCTCAAATAAGTAACTGATCAAATTATTTCCTGAGTCTAATAAGTCTGCAGGAACTTTTTTTAAAAAATCACTATAGCACTGTTTCTTAAGATGTAACCCATAGACAACCTGTATGGTAATCATTAGGGTGCTTATTAAGAAATTCAAGTTCCAGGCCTCCTATCCAGATATAGAGAATCAGATCCTGTGGGTAAGCACAAGCATCTACATTTTAACAACCACGCTGGATCATTCTAAGGCATAATAAAGCTTGGGAATCACTGATGTTTGGAGTAGAATCTAGTTCCTCCCTACCTCAAGGAAAGGTTTCCTGGTTCTGACCCTGTCAACCTTGTTAACATCATCTCCCACCTATAACTACTTGTAGCTTCTTCCCTCTTGAACAGTGTAGTGCCTTTGCTCATAATAGTCCTCCTTTCTAGACTTCTCACCCTTCCAGGGAAAAATTCTGTTCATCCTGTAGGATCCAATTGATTTTGACACTTTCCCAATAAAGCCTTTTTTTTTGCCCTCACACCAACATCAGGCAGAACCACTTAATTTGCACACACACACACACACACACACACACACACTCACACACACACACTGTGTCCTACTTTCACATTTTGCTGCAACTTGTTGACTCGTCTGTCTATCTCCTCTTTTGGCCCATGAAGAACTGCTTGAGGACAGAAATAAGCTCCTTGTTATCTTTACCTTCACCAGGCTTGGAATAATGCCTGGTGTGAGAAAGTGTGTGACAGATGACTTGTTCAGTGAGTGAACTGAAGAAGATCTACAGGAACTAAAGCTAGCTGACAGGCTAGTATAAGAAAGGGAGGTCAGAATAGTTAAGAACAATTAAGTGGTTAGATGCTCAAGCAGATTAAAGAGAGGGGAAGAGTTCAGGGTTAGAAAAAATATATCTTGATGGAATTTTCTTTTTCCGTAAAATGTGTGGTATGGAAAAGGCTGGGGGGGGGGGGGGGGGAGGGGAGGGGATAAAAAAGAACAGCCAGAGAGGTTGAAAAGATTAGTCTCAAGACAGAAAGTAAGGGGGGGAGGGGGGGAATCCAAGAAAACGTTAATAGGCAACTGTACCAAACCTGACAGAGGAAGGGAAAGGACCCTTGAAGCTACAGACTTGTCTTAAAATGTTCAACTTCCCATCCCATCTTCTAGCTAAGACTCTAGCAAAAGAATGGTTGGTATAGAAATAACTTTTAGAGCCAGGTGCCTGTTGCTCACGCCTGTAATCCTAGCTACCCAGGAGGCTGAGGATCACAGTTCAAAGCCAGCTGGGCAGGATACTCCGTGGGACTCTTATCTCCAACAAACCACTAGAAAACCAGAACTGGTGCTGTGGCTCAAGCGGTAGAGTGCTCGCCTTGATCTGAAGAGTGCAGGGACAGGGCCCAGGCCCAGAGTTCAAGCCCCATGACTGACAACAAAAAAAAACAAAAAAAAAACAAAAAAAAAGAAAGAAAAGAAAGAAAGAAAGAACTTTTAGAGTAACTTCTAAGGGAAACATTCAGTTGCCTCCTGCTCCATCTCTGATGTTTTCTTTACAGCAATGCACTGATGGATATGAATGGGACCCTGTAAGACAACAGTGCAAAGGTGAGCCTGCTTCCAAGATTTCTTATCCAAACATAGCTTTCTGTCTTCATCTCCTGTGTTCTCCCTGACCTGTTTGTTTTATACCAAAAAGGTGTGAGCCTATATTTACGTGTTTTATTTTCTCTCTAAGAAGACTGCTGACTTATCTTATTACTGACCACAGATATTGATGAATGTGACATTGTCCCAGATGCTTGCAAAGGTGGGATGAAATGTGTCAATCACTATGGAGGATACCTGTGCCTTCCTAAAACAGCCCAGATTATTGTGAACAACGAACAACCTCAGCAAGAAACACCAGCAGGAGCAGAAGCATCCTCAGGTGCCACCACTGGGAGTGTATCTGCCAGTAGTGTAGCAGCCAGTGGTGTAATGCCCGGGGGTGGTTTTGTGGCCAGTGCTGCCGCAGTTGCTGGCCCTGAAGTGCAGACTGGCCGAAATAATTTTGTCATCCGCCGGAACCCAGCTGACCCTCCGCGTATACCCTCCAACCCTTCCCACCGGATTCAGTGTGCAGCTGGCTATGAGCAGAGTGAACACAACCTGTGCCAAGGTAAGTATATACTTATGCTAACAAGAAAGTTCTTGCTCCTGGTGAGAATGGTAATAGTTGATTTTTATCCACAGTTTCCCATGGATAATGTACTCAGTTCTTTGTCTGAATTAGCATAGGTAATCATTGCAATAATCCTAAAAGTAGTTACTTGAGTGTCATATTACTTTACAAATGAGGAAACTGTGGTTCAGAAAGTTCAGCAGTGGTTCCCAACCTTAACTCTCCTTATTTACAGTCACTAAGGAGCCCTTAAAACTTCTCAGTGGCCAAGCCACACCCTAGCACAATTAAATAACAGCCCCTGGGGGTGAATTCCAAACATCAGTAATTTAAAGCTCCCAGCGTGGTTCTACCACACAGCCAAGTTTGAGGATCAGAGGTCACCCAGGTGGCTAGTGCAGAGCTGGCCTTCAAACCCAGGCTGGAGGGTGCCAGATTTACAACTGTCAGGTTATTCGTTGGGAATCCAAAATTGTGCTGTGGGCATTGAACTTGCCACTGATTTCTTTTCCTCATATGGCAACAAAGAAATGAGGTTTCTCTTTATCTTTATTTTGGAGAAGGTTGAACTGCTCACATTTAGATCTTTTTTTAAAGCTCTCATTCGAGCACATTGTGCTTCTATCATTTGCACCATGGCTTGGCTTTTCTGTTTATTTTCATGAAGAGTACACATCACTGTGTATTCTAGAAACAGCTGTAGACTCATGTTAGCAAAGTAGTCAGAATCTCAGGCTTTCAAGACATGTTCAGATATTAGCTAACTGGACTGTGTTAAGGAATTCTTGTTTCCCTTTTCCTTCTTAGCAAACCTTTTCAGAACCGCCTGGTATAAAGATTATGCTACTGAAATAGGGAGTCAGAGAAGCCCAGCCCTCCTCCTTTTATATGATGGGCTTCTTGTCAAAAGAACAGATAGGTCCCAGGAACTTTGTCTTTCTAATCAGTTGTGAGTGAGGAAAAGAGCAGGACCCTTACACAGTTGGGACCTTCAAGCAGCTGCAATAGTGGAAGACACGCCTCCCTGTGTTCTGGGATGACATCCCTATTCACCAGTGCTTCATTTTATCTTCTATATAAGTGATACTAGATTCTACATGATTCCACTAGATACTACTTCACTTAAAAGTAAAGTATCATGTTTTGTCTTTTATTATTTCATATTCCATGTGCAGTGTTAATGACCCCATATCAAGAGCTAATCCATGCACTTTTTCTTTAAATAAGTGATGGTGTCACTTCTCAGAGGAAGCATGAGATGAGCATCTGTTTTGTGTTACTGTCATGAGTCAGAATTCCGATATTGATGATGCATGTTTCAGCATCTGCTTGATTTTCTAATACTCAATTTAAGGATTATGTCAAGGAGATAAACTGATGAGGTTATTCTTACATATACATTTGGGTGAATATTGATAAAAATGCCTTGATTTTATTTAAAAGATACAAATTTTTAATTGTGTTATGTAAAATTATAATTCAATTGGAAGACCTGATATGTTCTGAAATCAAACAATTTTATTAGACTCTCTTAAGTATTGACTTCTATTTTTTGAATTATTATTGGCCCTTCAGATTTTGTATATTTAATGATGCTTGGAAGTAAAAGAAACAGATAGCTTATTGGCTCATTATCCAAAGTAGTTTATAGCTGAATTCAAAACAATGCCTAAAACAGATAAAGAAGTTGTAGGACAAAAGATGTTTAAGACTTACAACACACTTTAGTTACAGTAAAAACTGAACCATGAATAATGAAAATAAAACCTTTTTTGATATTTCTTGAAAATATTTAGACTTCCTTATTAAGTTACTTTTCAAATATTGAAATATTATCATTCCTACTTCCTTGAGAATTTCTTTTAGTTATAAACTTAAACTATCATGTACCTTGCTTATGGAAGATGTAAATACATATTAGTTTATTAGGTGCACATAGGGTGGCTCTAATCCAAACTGTTCTGTATAATTCAGCCAATTTCTAAAATTTGTGATTGTGGTCTTACCATTGAAAGCAGAGTTAAAAGATTTTTGGATGACTTAAGGCTTAAGTTGGATTTCTTCCCACTTCACAATTTTGCAAAGTGCCCATAAATGTGGATTTACTTAATTGTTGATAAAAGGGGGTTATTTCATATGATAACAGTATAATCTGTCCAGGGAATCTGACTAACATAAGTCATGTCACACTTGTGCCCGTTTATTATTGAGCTAATCAAACATGCAGTCTTAGCTTCTTCTAATTGCCTACAGATGTATGACATTCTCATTCCAGGCCAGCAGCACAAAATAATGTTTTATAACCAATGTGAAAGTTGTGGGGACCTCTGTTTAAAACAATAATGTGCTCCAAGGACCTATATTCCTGACGTCATCACACAGTTTGAGGAGACTTCTGTTTTAATAAAGAGCTCCACTCCCTTTTAAATGTTGCACACTTATGCCTAGTAAGCCAAACACATTTATCATGGCTGGCTGGATTAGAATAAATGAATGTCTTCATATGAGTCATATTTGTATAAAAATTATTTCTGTTTTCCATGTATATTTTTCAGCAGGTACAGTTTATTATTACATAACCTAAAACTGAGAGCAATTTGCTTCAATCTTCAAGCAAACTGCTTTTGAATGTACTATACAAATCACAGACAGCCCCTAATGATTTAAAAATCATTGGATTTTTTTAAAGCATTCTTTTTTCTTTAAAGATGTCTTGTAGCCAACTGTCTGTGTCTTAATAGTTTAATGAAAACATGATAGCTTTATTCTTTTACGTATATTTTCCAAGGCATTTCAGCTTTGGGCACAAACAAAAAGTTTGAAATAATAACATAGTATCCTAAGATCAAATCATAATCAGCAGGTAACTTTTGCAAAATGAGAATGGGAGTGAAAGAGCCACTCACACTGAGAGTTTCACATGACTGGTGTTATCTTTGGCAGCTATAAAATTACATGAAAATCATTTTAGTGTTACTTACATACCTGGAGTCATGTATAGATAAGTTTTAGAAAATATTTCCATGAGATAACATCTACCTCAAAGACATACTCATATGTGCCAAAAGAATTTGGATGAGGGGCTGGAAGGTGGCTCAGTGGTAGAGCACTTGCCTTGCATGCCTGAGGCCCTGGGTTCGATTCCTCAGCACCACATAAGCAAAAAAAAAAAAAGCTGGAAGTGGCACTGTGGCTCAAGTGGTAGAGCACTAGCCTTGAGCTGAATTTCTGAGGGACAGTGCCCAGGCCCAGAGTTCAGGCCCCACGATTGGACCCCCCCCAAAAAAAGAACTTGGATGAATATAAGGTATATTATATAACCTACTGGTGGCTCATACTTAATTTTCTATATGGTTGCTATGTAGTCTCTAGGTGATTTCCCTGAAAGGAAATTAGAAATCACTATACATATATACATATAAATGCATATGTATAACTTATGTGTGTATATATGTGTGTGTGCGTGAGCACATGCTGATCCTGGGGGCTTGAACTCAGGGCCTGAGTGCTGTTCCTGAGCTCTTGTGTTCAAAACTACCACTTGAACCACAGCTCTACTTCTGGCTTTTTGGTAGTTAGAGATAAGTCTCACAGACTTACTGCCCAGGCTGGCTTTGAACTGTCAATTCTCAGACCTCAGCTTCCTGAGTGGCTAAGATTACAGGTGTGAGCCCCATTTTGTTAAAAAATAAAAATCATTTGGGAATAGGAAAGATAAAAGGTATCTATCTATTGCCCAGTTTGAAGGCATTCATTTCCTTAATTGAAGTTTCAAAAAATTAAATGTATAACATTTTGCATAGCTGGCAAGTAAGCCGTTATTAACTAAATCAAGATAACTTGGAAAAAGAAACAAGTATGCTTCAAGAAATAAAGAGTACAAATGCTTAATGAAGCTAGTTTAGAGCCAAGTCTAGAGCGCATTGCGTCTCGATTATATACATTATGAATGAGAGATATGAAAATATACCTTAGGGTCTAACCATCTCCATCAGCCAGCACTATCCTGATTTCATTGGAAATGCCTCACACTAAGACAAGTAGAATGTTTGACCAACCTGGCAAACATTTATAACCTATTCTCATGTAAACTCACAGTGGAGAATGACAGATTCTTAGTGTTAGAACCATTTGTTCAAGTTAAAGCACTGAGCTCAGGACCTTGTACTTGCTCAAGTGGTATTCTATCATTTGAGCCATAATCTCCAGCATGACTTCTGGTGGCTATTTGATTCTTGAACACTTTTCTGCCTGGGCTGACTTTGAACTACAATCCTCCAAATATCAGCTTCCTAAGTACTACGAGTAGATGTATGAACCACTAGTAATCAGCTCAGTGAGACTTTTTCTTTTTTTTTTTATTAATAGGTTTTTTTTAATTGTGAAAATACCGTACAGAGGAGTTACAATTACATGAGCATGGCAGTGAGACTTTTTCTATAATTTTGTTTTAATCTTTCAAAAGCCAAACTTCATTGATTTTTAATGTGGTTTTTATTGTAAAAATAGTGTACAGAGGGGTTACAGTTACTTGAGTAAGGTAATGAGTAGCATTGCTACCTCCTCCTTTGTTTTTCCCCTACTATCCCTTCCCTCCCCACTTCCCCAACTCTTCCTCCCCCACTCTCCCAAAGTTGTAAAGTTCGTTTTCAACATTGTGTCTTGTACATCTCATTATTACAATGGGTCAATCTGTATACTTATTTAAGCATTTTGTTATTTCCCTTCCCCTCCCCAAATTATATCTTGTGTATACTTCATTGATTTTTTAAGTCTTCTTTTGTAATTGTTGGGATTCACTGACTGGTTTGCTAGTGTATAGTTTACATTGTTTTAAACTTAGCTTATACAGTAGACCTAGGCATTCACATCCACATTCTTAGAACCACTTCATACCATTATTAGTGCACCTTCTCAGATTTTCACATGGCCAAATTAAGTAACAATGCTTCAATTATAAACTTTCAGTTTATAAAAGTTATTTCGTTCAACTTTCA